CTTCTCCCAAAAACAGGTGAAACACAAAGTGCAGCAAGACGAAGGAGCACTGCCAAACATCTGAAACTCGTGTTTCACATTTTCACAGACACAATATGTTCACAGAACAATGAAACTCAGATGCACCCCATTGTTCACTTGTCTTTGTTAAGTATTTATTTACCTAGCTCACTTCTTTTTCAAACTTCATTTTTGTAGTTGGTCATTTGCAACTTTACACTAAATAGTTTACAGTTTCTGAAAGCAATAGCTTTAAAAGTGGGCTATTCTGAGCATTTTACTAGCTTTATTGTACCAGCAGACAGTGATAGTTCAAATCTCACAAGTAATGAATGCGTCACTTAAAAATGCATGCAGACAACATGCATTCGGCCATTTGTTTGACTTCAAGAAAAAGAGTCAAAAGAAAGGAAGAAAAGAGCGGGGTCCCAGGTCTCCACATGAATACATGAAAACACATGCTTCTCTTCTCCTTCTGTAATCCACCAGGGGCTCACGCCCCATTTGGTTCCCATTAGCATAGCTCAAGTCGCTCTGCCCCATGTCAAAGCCCAGACGCACAGCTGCACAAAGGACAGGGACCTCTGGCTCTACCACTGCCAGCCGCAGGCCTCAAAACAAGAACTGACAAGAAGGATAGGCCTTTCCCTGTGGGGATTTCAGCGAAAAAACAGTCTCCCTTCTGTCAACTACACTTTCCCTTTGTAAAGTATAATAACCTTTACTATTGAAGTCATTGCGAAGTGATTAATAGTTGTTTATTTTGTACCACTTTGTAAGGCAAGAAATCTGCTTTTCAAGTCAAATCCAAGGATAAAATCAAACAAGCAAAGATTAGCCTTGGCATGAGATATTTACTCCCCTGTATTTTGTGGCATGCTGTGTGTGACTACAAAGGCTTTTATTTTTTTTATTTGGCGTATTTTATTTGTCACCTGTTTCCAATATGGACATTGTGAAGCCCTGATCTATCTAAAGGAGTCCGGGCCTGTTTTATGACACGCAAAGCTGCCGTGCCTCTTTCCCTCCACACGTTGGCTGCACATTTCTGGCAGGAAATTGACAGCATTTCAGCAGCTAACTCATGGATGAGATAATATCTTGTGGGTGGAAGAGAGGACAAGATTCTCCCAGTGTTTTACAGTGACCCTAAGCAGAGACAAATTTAAATCCGAAGCTGATGCTGCAAAGACTCGCACACACACACTCGTAGCTGTGCATGAACACACGGGGTTTCATTTAAATCTCGGCTTTGCTTAACTCACAAAACAAGAAGTGTGGTCTGTGGCTTTGTGTCGAACATGGTAAAGGTTTCAATTAAAGTAGGAGGAACAATACCCACCCAGCATCTTGCAGCTGCACAGATTGGCCGCGTTGTGTGCCATCAGAGGGTTTAGGTAAGGCCTGCAGGCAACTGACATTTTAGTTTTGTTTTCGGTGGAATTTAGCCTTAGAATCAGCCTTACAAACCAACAGGGCAGGGAAACAGTTGCACAGGATATTATTTAATATCAGCATGACTTGTGCTGCATCATGGGACTTGTACAGGTCAAGATGTCTCTGCTGACTTGTAAAATTCAGCCCGGCTCAAAGTTGGACTGTCTTTCATGTTTGTTCATTGATCTTGAGCTATCCAGCCGACTTTTCCCCGTCTGTCCGTTTAACATGATCTTGGATGTGACAAAGTCCACTCAAAAAGACAGTTTTGTCAACAGATTCTCTATTCTGCCATTACTCTGTCCATCTGTCCCACTAACAGTCTTTTAATTGAGAGTCCTCCTCAGTCTGATGCAGGCCATCGCTGGCTGTCAGTGTTTATACAATTGGGCTGGGACAGCGACTGTGAGCCAAGGAAAACATCCATGAAACATCAAGCCTCCAGCTAAACAAAACCCAGCAGTGAGACACACACTCTTAAGCCAGATAAGGGGTTGGAAATTACACTTTTCTGAGTGCAGCATGGTTAGGCTGTTGACCATAGCGGTAACACAGCAGCTGCACGAGAGTGTCGACTGTTGACTGGGTCTAATTGCTGCAGTATTGTGGGATTTTCCTCACTCCAGCTCTTGACAAGACCTCTCAGTTTTCCAGCAATTTACAGAGTCACACACACACACAGGCACACACACACGGATAAAGTTCTATGTCCTTTTGCTCAACATCGTCCTTTTTAGTTGGGAGCCAAAGAGGAAACCCTGGCGAGACACTAGCACGGTGACTAATGTTGAGGATCTGGCCAGGCCTCTGATAACACCGCCTCCTCCCCTGGCCTGCTGTGACAAATATGTCCAAGCGTAGAGCTGGGATCTGCGCCCGGGTTTGTCCCTGACTCACACCGGGCCAGATATAGGTTAACTCTTGATGACTTTGTCCCAGCTGTTGCAGGAAAACTCTTTAAAAAATCTTTTTGATGGTCATCTCTGACGCGTCTATCCGCTGCCTCTCCTCAGCCTTTAATGTTTTTTTCCTACAGTGTCCAGTCAGTGCAGAAGTCGACGGACATTTCTGCTGTTACTCCATACCACATGTTCACGAGCGGCTGTTCAACAGCACACAAACGAATACCAAGAAATAACGAGCACAGAACGTCCCCTCCCTTCCCCTTTTCTCCCATCAGTGCCTCTTCAGTGGAGGGAGTTTGCCGCTGCTTTAATGCTTCTTAATGCTGTTGTCTGCTTAATGGGCCAGATATGAGAGGTGCTGCTAGCCAGCGTAATAAGTCAGTGATTAGAGGGCGTCTTGTCATAGCGGCGGCCCTGCAGACAGTGGCACGCTCTAATTGCTGTATTAGACGCACCTTAACTATCGTGTCAGCTGTCAGGCTGCGCCTCGTAAACAGCAGAGGCGCATTTGATATTTTCATTTGTTTGTTTCCGTCTTTTGAGAGGTAATTAGAGAAAGGCCCGCGTTGTGTGACATCATTGCACTAAATTGGGTTATTTAAAATTAGATTTCTCTAAAAAAAAAAAAAAATTAAAAAGCTGTGCAGCTTGTGATGGATAGAAAACTCCTCAGCAGGAGTGAAAAAAACTCTGTTTAATGAAGAGAAAAAAAGGACACTGGGAATTCAAGTGCCGTATAAATAGCAGCACCTGAACTACAGTTTTTATTATCTGTGTATTCTTTTATATCCATTTTCTTTATCAAGAGAGTAAATACCAAAATGTTGCCCATTAAAAAAAACAGTAAATGGGTTAATAATAGGATCGCAGTGTATTTCTTTAATGAATATCGTATATAAAAAAGAACTTGAAGCAAGATAGAACAGAGCTACTGGAAAGATACTTAATAAAGAAAAATGTTTAAGTAATCAGACTCTGTGCAAAAATTAAGATAAAGGTATACAGCCCAAAATAAGGACAAATGCCAAATCCTGAATAATTCTAAAAATCACTACAGAGTGACACAGTCCTAGTGTCTTCTACATCTAAACGTTCAGACTTTTGAGCATAGCCATAAACTTTGAACATATGGAAACATCCATGCAGCCCTTTCCCTCTTAGAATGGGTCCTTGAAGTATGGAACACTTGACTCGTTTCAAGTAGTCTGGATTAGAGTGTCAGCTCGGTGCATAACACTCTGTACGTGCGCTACAAATGACATGTGCCATGTAATCCTCACACACTGTGAGGATTGCGGTGCCCGCACCTGGAGGGCTTAAAAATGGTGTTAAGTTAAGTAATCTCTGTCTCCTGTCTCATTTGGTGTTAAACTGTGAGGTGTCACGGTAGAAGTGGTGTAATTTTGTGTTTAATCTTGGATAAGCCCGTGTTCACTTTGACACCTCTGGTAACTAATCTGGTTTACAACACCATGGGGTGAGTGTGGGGATTCTGATTTTATGGTCTTTTAGTCGATTATACGTTTCATGGTTGAAATGCAGCATATAAGTCTACCCTGCAGACCAGGTAAATGTTGTTTTTTCCTCCAAACAACACAAATGTGCACTTGAGTTTGTTCTACCAGTGCGGGGACCTCAGTTTTTTTTATGTAATCCATGCTACTGATTTCTCTGTAGATTTGCTGAGTGTGTCTGGTATTGTGAAACAAAGGTTGTTGATTCAGACATGGACTCCAACCTCCGACCCTTTGTCTCTGTCACATAATTGTCATACCATTACCTTAAAAGAGAAACAGTGATACAGGCAGAGATAGTATATTCAGAGAAGACTATAAATTCATAAAGTTTTATGAGCTGATAATAAGGGCCATGCAGACACTTTGTCATTGTCTTCTTCATCTACTCTTAGACAGATACCCACATTTGTCACTGAAGAACGTCCATTGACATTTTTATCTGTTTCACAAAGGCGAATTATACTTACAAATGTAAAATGCGTTATGTGCCTTTGTGCAAAGTTCATTTTCTGCTGCTGATCCACTTTAGACAGTTAAGGCTTAACAAGTGTTTCTCACTTTATTCATCTTGTATGAAAAATATCTGATATAAGAAGAGCTGCCAACACTTATTAAGATTCATAATTCCAATTTCTCGCCATCTTTTTCTCTCATTTTGCGCTTTCTTCTTGTTTCTCCGTGTCAGTGTGAAATTTATGGGTTGCAGCTGCTGAACTTGTTTGGATGATGAAGCTGTATTCATTTGTGCAGATTTCCATGTTTGACCACACTCCTCTCTGTACTACTGTACAGTATTTTCTGTGGTTTTAACAATGAGCACCGTCTTGCAGGCAAAAGTCAAATCTTCTAAAAATGCTTCTAAAGAATTGTTTATGAGGGAGTAGGCCTGAGCAGATGATGCATTGTGCTGCACCGAGCTGCCCTCGTCATGTCTGGACATTTAACCTCTCACTACTAAAAGCTTTCCGGGGTCAGACAAAGTGCAGTTCCAGTGTTGAGTAATGAAGCCTCAGTCAAAACAAGTTACATTTCTGTGTGTTCAGGAAGGGAAGTCCAGTGCTGGCACACATGATGTCAGCAGTGTTAGAAAAAAAAGGAAGGGTAGATTCATGCAATGTAAAGAAGGGGTGGGAAAACTAGTATGCACGTTCTGTCACATTTGAAAGTTTTTCAGGTTTGGAGTTGTGGGGATTTGCTGTTTTGTACTGTCCTTATGCTTTTTTATCTGCATTCCTTGTTGAATGAAAACTGTTTCGCGTCCCTCTCAGTTTATCGGTTCTTTATCTGTACTTTTCCTGTTTTTTGCAGGCCATTCGCTGTACACTGGTGAACTGCACGTGTGAGTGTTTCCAGCCAGGGAAGATTCACCTACGGACATGTGACCAGTGCAAACATGGTTGGGTAGCTCATGGTAAGAAAAATAATTGCTAAGGTGCATGTATCTTGTAGCTACATTAAGAGTTAACCAAATTCAGACTGCATGTTTCTGCTTTGAATTAAATCATTGTCCTGAACTACATAAACATACATGTGCTCTTTATAAAAAAAACAGTCTCAGATGCCAGAGGAACAAATTGTGTTCTAATATCTTGCATACTACGAGCTGTGACTATTCCATCTATGGTTAAATATACTTAATTTGGTAAAGTTTTCTATTCCATACATTTTTAGTAGTTGTTTTCTTCTGTATTTTGCTCACCTTCAAAGTCTTGTTTTTGCATCTTAGAAAGTAACGATAGATAAATAAAAACACAACAACAGCAGATACAGAGAAGTAAGAAGACCACACCTCATGAGTTTTCACGTGGGTGAAAGAGAAAAGGGAGAGGAGGCAATAAAGTACAAAGAGAAAGAGGAGGGAAGAAAAGATAAAAGAAAACACCTGTTTGGCTTGCGTCCGCACAAGAGCGGGCTTGGGGCCCTTCGGCAGATCGCACAGGACCCCATTGACTATTTTTTAATCTCTCCCTCTGAACTGTCAGACGCACGTCTCTCCTCTCCCCCACTTTTCATTTTATGTCGGCATTGGCAGGGACTCTGACAAGTAGTTCTTCATATTTTATTATGTTCGTGTCTGGCCTCAGTGCGTTGTCAGGCAAAGCCCTCATCAGTGGGAGAAAGCCGTCCCAGGATCAGAGAGAGACCCAACCAGGTGTCACCCAGACAGGCGAAGGGGGGAGGGCGGGGGGGCGGGGGGGTGGACGTATGAGGTAAGGGAAGAAATGGGACTGCGATCGGGGGAAGAAGAGTCAAACAGGTGTCGCCCAGGCGGCAGGAGAGGGGAGAGAGGTGACTGAGGTTGCACAGTGGGGCTAAAAACAAGCCTACCAACAGATAAGATTCATGTCCGTCCTATGTACCGTGTCCACTTGATCAATGTGTCACCCCCTCCCTCAAACTCCTGAGGCTAGCTCTAATCAGCCTGCCTGCAGAAGCCTTTCTTAAAACATTTTAATACAAGGACACGAGTAAATGAGAAAATGCTGTTTCAAGTTGATTGGGGTCCGAATGGAAACCGAGGAGGCAAATAAAAGAGAGAGAGAGAATGCAAGGGCAGCGTAAATGTGAAAGAGTACGAGATTAGATTAAAAAGAAAGAATGGCAGATAATAACATTAATGCCACTGCCTCTGTCTGAAAGATGTGTTATCATCAGCCCGTGCTGACTGTGCACGGGCCTACGGGAGACGATTTGAGATGAGAGAGAAACTTGATAGTCACTTACTTTGCCTCTCTGTGTGTTTGCGTGTGTGTGTCTGTGTGCGTGTTTTCTTTTCTTTCACCTGATCGTTCATGCAGCTCTGGACAAGCTCAGCACCCAACACCTCTACCACCCGACCCAGGTGGAGATTGTTCAGTCCAATGTGGTGTTTGACATCAGCAGCCTGATGCTGTACGGCACCCAGGCCGTCCCCGTCAGGCTCAAGATCCTCCTGGACCGCCTCTTCTCCGTGCTCAAGCAGGAGGAGGTGCTGCACATCCTGCACGGCCTGGGCTGGACACTCCGAGACTACGTGAGGGGCTACATACTGCAGGTCAGTGGCGGCCACACGCACGTCTCCAGTATGATGCGATTTAAGAGCAAAACGTTAAGACCAAATGTTGTTCTCCTCACACCAAAAAGCATCCCGTTACTTGTCGTTATATTTGCAGACGATTTTCAGTCATCTCTGAAAGGATAAAGTCCATACACTCCCGTCACTTTTGCGCCGAGAGTATCTTACAAATTCCTCTCGCCATGCACCTATTTTGAGAGATATTGATCGAAAGCAAAACAGTGACAATCTAGGCCACTTCAGTCTCATCGCCCATCCATTTCCCTCACATTTTCCCTGCTGTTGCTCCTACTTCAGTTTGCCCCCCTTTTCCTGCCCTGTCAACACAACCGTGCCCCTCCACTGGAAAAAGGAAAGGGAAAAAAAAAAGGTGGAGAAAAATGTCACGCCAGCAAACTATAAAACCACTGTAGTGCGTTTCCTCTCTGTATCCATCCCTCCCTCCTCCAGCTTGTTCCTCCCATATAATTGCAGTCAGACACATTTCTCAATCAAAGGTATAGAGGTTTTGGTGTTGAAACCTAAACCAAAGTGTTCCTGAATGAATTAGTTAACAGTGAGTGAACATGTGCATGTGGTTAGCCTTGTGTGCGTGTGAGTGTATATGTTTGTGTGTGTGTGTCTGTGCTTATCTGCGTGCATATATGCTTTAGTCTTCCAAGAGTGTAAGTGGAACAGCATGGTGAGTAGAGGCTGTTGAAACAGCTTCTGTGAGTAGAGCCCTTGCTTGTCCATTTGTAGTCATTAAAGAATACACAAAAAATCATACAAAGCAGTAATAATCTGGCATTTAAATTCAGTTGGATATTGAATCCTTGTTTCGTGTCATCGCTTGTAGATATAAAATTTGAATTGAACAAAAATGCCAAAACACCCAATATTTTCTCTCTCTCTTTTTGTGTATATATATTTGTATTAACAACACATATTATGTATATTCAATCCTTTATTAACATTAATTTAAAAAGTCCTATCCTATCAAACTTTTTAAAATCAAGTTTCAGTGAATCAACAGAATGTCAACATCAAAAACAGCAATTACTGTTTACTGTAAACAGTAAATCTGAATTATGAGCAGAAGGACATGATACTAGAAGAAGCCGTAAACAACACTGATAATTAATTTGCAATTACTGTTAATACACTTCTAACGATCATTTCTGTTTTTTAGCTTTAGAAAGGTTCCCTTTAAACTTGAACTACATATTTGAAGTCTGCAGTGTGAGAACCTTGTATTGGGTAAACCTTAAACATTTTCGGTTCCCATAGTTGTAGCCGCTGTTTTTATCAGCTGGTTCTAATAGTCGGCTGGTGGGAGCACAGTGTTGCTCAACTGCTCAGCCTCATGTCACGCTACTGGCTAAATCCTCTAGATCTCCTCAGAAAGGCTTCAAAGGGGCCGCGGCCACAGAGAGGCAGCAAGTCACTTAAGGACAGTAAGCAGTCGTACGGCCCTATTAGTCTGTAAGTAGCTATGAAATTCAATCATCTTCCCCGAGCCTCTGGGCAACACTGTATGTCAGGGGTGTGTACCTCAACACGATGCCATACTAAATAGGATAAAATAAGGGGAAAAGTATTTCAGATGATAGGTTTCCTTTTTTAATACTGATGTCAGGGGACATTAGTTGATGATAAGTTTTTTTAGTCGGGCTTTCACAGTGCTCCTTTTTCTGATTAAAGATTTGAAGAAAAATGTTATGCCACAGGGGGTGAAGATTTAAACCTCCATTTTAATGAGAAATGCTATAAGCTGGCACTGTTATCCAGCAGATATGCTCATTTATCCATTAAAAATGCTTTACTAAAACCTTACATTTTTTTCTGTTTTATGGCCATGATATGCCCACTGTATGTATTTATTTATTTATTTTCTATCCAGTTTCCACAGCTTTTAAAAAAAATTTTAACCTCTAATAGTACATGGGAGTTTATTCCAAGAGGAAGCAACAAATTATATTGAGGGAAATTGTTGTTTTGTGTGACTGCTAGACGGTTTGGGTTTGCTCGGTGTCAATAATACGCTTGGAAGAGTAACATAGCACAGAACTCAGAAAGTGCACAGAAAGTGTACCCGCAGCTTCTCTACCCAGCGACACACACAAAAGAAAAAAAAAAAAAAATACAACAATAAAATGCAGAAACTTCCCTATGTTCAGTTTCCTTGTATGACCAACACATTTAATCTATTTTCAAGGTGTTAATTGTTATTGAGTCATCTCCTTTGCAGGCCCAGGGATTCAGACTATTACCTCATGACTCAAAGTGATCATAAATTCTACTTAAATCCCACAGCTCACACATTAAAAACAAAGCAAATTTATTTGCAGACGTGTGAGGGTGAGTGTCTGTGTGCTATTCTCTGTGGATGTTGAGTTGTGTTCTCTCAGGTGGAGAAACCTGCTCTGAGCTCAGAGCAGCACAGGTTGAGATTACACAGTTTTAGCAACACTCAGCTGGTCTGATACGCACAGTGAGTGAACCAAACTCCTACATGAATTACGCACAGCAAACACTTATATGTAAGAATAGCCGGTATGTGTTGCTCATTCATATCAAAAGCATCTTTGCTGCCTCAGCACTATTCTACTTACATTTACTCTGCCTTCACCTCAATAACTGTATTATCAGTTTGAATATTCTCTTTTGTTTAGGGCTTTTAAACTGAAAAGAATCTGCGAACATTTGAAGTTGAATGTCTTATCAGAAAAAAATGTATTCTAGTTTGTAAAGAAGAGGAATTACATGGGACATATCCATTATAACTGCACCTAAAAGGATAAAACTATAAATCGTCAGTAGGAGGAAGTAGCATTTAGCTGTTGACAGCTTGTAATCTTAAGTTTGAAATGTCTCTGGAATCATAAAAATTAGAGCTAAGAGGTTTTCACCAGACAGTGATGACAGAAGGTTATGTATGTGCAGTGTTTTGTTTTTACCCTTTACACCGCTCTATTTCTCTCGTATTCCCCTGACTTCAAGCTTTATCCAAAATAATACTGTATGTGAACAATGCAGACACATTTATCCAGTGCCAGAATTCCTTGCCCTTCACTCTGGCGGACTTTTACCTTCACCACTCCTCAGCCCTTTATCCTTTTTCCCTCCTTTGCTCCTCTGTCATGGTTGTTTCCAGACAGACCCACAGCCAATGTACACCACACCCCCCCCCCCCCCCCCCCCCCATATGGCCTGATCCCGCAGCTTGTCACTGCTCACTCCTCTGCTCAATACCAACAGATGGAATTACTATCAGTACAGGCTTCTCTGTCTCAGCCTCTGTCTCCCACACCCTACACTGTCTATTTTGTCTTCCTCTTTCTTATCCCTTACAGAGTAAAAGAAATAAGTAGAGAGTGGAATGAGTGGAAAGCCAACATGTGGGCAGAAGCCCAGGGTTTTCCTGAGCGACATTCTCAGTAATGTTCTGTCCTTGTAGAACATTGGGCTGCCTCCGCTTTTATGAGATGTGGTTTTTCTGACTCCATGCGGATTCCAGGAGGCCCAGATGGAACCGCTAACAGCCCCCACCAATGCCATGCAACCACACACGCACATACTGTACACACACAAACAGCCTTAAAGCTTAATTGCACACACACTCACAGGAATGCTTATTCAAACTATCAGGCACACACACAGCCACAAAATCACGCTTTTCTATGTCGACGGCTCTTTGGAAAAGGGCTTTGTTTTAAGGCTGATGGTTGCACAAAGGACTGTGTTAATGACACAGTTAAACAATCTCAAAATTAAAAAGAAAAAAAAAATCCACCCACTCTGTAAGTTCATAGTCACCCCAGTGATTATAAGACGAAAGCAGTGGATTTTTGGAAAGCTGTAAGAGACCTGTTTCTTTTTTTTTATGTAACTTTAATGTTGTACATGTGTACTTACACATGTTGAATTTAGGATGCAATTACATGGATTAGGGTGCAACAGTGTTTCTGTAGGTCAGGAAACCATTTCCAGTTGCAGGTGGGTCTCTATAAAGGTACCACTTTGCTTCTCTAGATGGGGGTTTAGAAAAGTATTTATTGAGTTAAAGTCACATTTAAAAACATTTTGCTATCTTTTTTTTTTTCTTCTTCTACCACTACACTCCCCCACTGTAATTTTGTCTCTCACTCTGTCAACTGTGAAGGTCACCACATCTCCTGATCCTCGCCTGAGAAACTTCCATTTTAGGTAGTCTGACTCCGTGCAACAAAGTTTTTGGACACAATCCCCCTCTCCAATCTCCTCCATACGGCACACTTGTAACCCCTACTTTCCTCCTGTCCTCCTGTCCTCCTCTCCACCCTCCATCACCTTCCCCCTCTCAGAACCTGTTTTCTGTTATCACTACTTAATGCCTCACCCTGGGAGATGGACGGGGGAGAAAGCATTCTCCTAAGGTGGAAATTCTTACGTTCATATGGTTATGATTTGGTGGGGAGGTCAGGCTCGATTTTTGCTGGAAGGCTTACGGTTGGCTCTGCGCTGGCTGTGCTGGGCTCCAGACACTTCAAAGACAGCCGGTGTACTGAATCAAGGTGAATCTCACCCCCTCTATATGTGTACACACAAGTACACACACGGTTGTCCTCCCGGTGCTTTTAAAAATGTCTTCTTCCTTCTTACTCTCAACCGCTCCGTTCTTAGTAAGCTAGAGATAAAAGGATGTGATTTGAGATAAGGGGATAAGTCAGAGGAAGGCAGAACAGCATTGTGAGTAAGACGTTAAACCATTTGACAATTTTATATTAAAACAACTTTTCATACAGCAATGTCAAAACCAAAGTATTTAATCGTAAATAAACCAAAACAATGGCATATTTGCAGAAAGTGTTAGGTTTCTTTCATGTCACTTCGGTTACAACATGCAGGGAGCACAGCAAGCTCCTTACACAAGTCCGGCCTTTGCCAAATCCTCAGTCCCTCGCCCCTGAATCCTGAACCCAAGCCTCAAATGAATTCAAGCTGGAGAGGCAAGGTTATGAGCAGGTTACATTGTATGCAGGAATTTGGGAAATAATTCCCCCTATATTGGATTTGGAGAGTAGTCTGAATTTGACCATAGTTTCAACGAGGCCTCACAAGCTGCTGCACAAGTTCAAAATTGAGACTAAAATAATAGGGATAAC